TTGTCTAATTTTGGTTATATCGATATGTTTTGCGTCTAAAAAAAAAAAGGAAACCAGCTAGCCCCTATAAAAAATTTATTCTGTATTTTTTTATTCCATGTAAATGTATCATATTCACGGAGTTTTACAGAAATTTTTTACAGGAATAGGGATAATTCTCTGGTTCTGGAATTTGTTTCTTTTTGTATGAAAGATGACAGATAGGTTTTCGTATGAATTGTGTAGGATAGGTACTTTGTATGTGTATAATACAGGGTTGAATTCTTTAAACAACATGGGTATATACAGTAATAATCTACCTAAAATTAAAAAATCAGGATTGAAGATCAATGTTTTCTGTAAACTAAAAAGTGAGCGCGCATTTTTACTAATTCTGATTGTGCGGAGTATTTCATTGGTGCTTGATTGTTGATCAGCTAACTCAAAGAAGATAAACATTTACTCCTCCGTTTTGGTTTCATAAATCTACGGTCACATGAATTTGTCGAAATGAATTTTTGAAGTAACGGGCTTTGATAATGACATGGTAAAGTAACATAAAAAATGTATGTTTTTTTATTAATAAAGATGTTTTATATTTGCGGAAATGTGTTTTGAGGACGAAGTGTACGTTAAAAAATTTTTGAAAGGCGATAATAAAATAAGAATCACGTGACCACCTTGATTCTCGGGCCGAATGATTTTCCGAACAAGTATATTAAAGTTAGCGTACTGTTGGCGTTTAGCAATTTTTGCATTTTATTTCTTAAGTACGAAATTTACTTGAAATTTTAGAAGATAATAAATTTTATAATAATAAACTATTGGGTTCGTTACGACCATTACGTAAAAATTTTCCATGCACGTATGGTCATTTTAAATTATCGTTCCTCTTTATTTTATAAAGAGTTTTATCAACTGATGAACATATTAAATTACCAAACAATTTGTCCTGAAATATTTCGATTATTATTGAGGTAAGGAGAATTGAAATAATAAATTCTTTTTTTTTTTAAAAAAAAAAATATATATATGTATATTAAATACTTATATGGAAATATTCATTTTAGATATCTATGGAGGAAGACTCTCTTTAGAAGCTGTCTCTTATACACATCTAGATGTGTATAAGAGACAGCTTTAGAAGAGTATGATACATTTAAAATTTTTAATTGCATCAAGTGAACTTGGTCTTAATGAACTAATCTCTCATTTGGTGTCATTCTTGATTTAAAACAAAGAAAAAAAAAATTGGATGCGAACAAAATTTTACCATGATATATAAAACAAGTTTTAAGAATGATTCTTTCTTTCTTAAATTACGTCGAGAGAACCAGAGAAAAATTTTCGATTTTTTACTTTACTTTTAATAAAATGTCTGGTTTCTCTACTTCAACATGACAATGTTCAATTGAATGCTTTTAAAGTTTGGGAAAATGTACTTAAATGGATTAATGAAGCTTATTATTTTCGTGATTAACATATTAAGCTATTGTTACGGGATATATTTTTTTCTTTTTTTTTTATTTATATTTATATTTATTTATTATTTGTTATTAGTTTATTTTTAGTTATGTTACATAGAGATATTTTTAGTTATTTAATGATTAGACGTCACTTTGGCCGGGAGGCGAGATTTTTAACGATATAGAAAGGACCGATGGTGGAGGAGTAGTTAGAGAAGTTCGTGTAGGTTTTATTTTCAATAGATAGATATTACGGATATTACAGAACGTCGATAGAGTAGAGGCAGTAATATCGTATTTTATTCAAGTGTTAATAAACCCGCCTTGTTTCCGATTTATTACAACTCGTTTATTTCTTTAAAGTTTTATCTTTTATTGACCTTTTGTTACATATCGTTTTATTACTTTTATATAATTTAAGTCAGATTATAAACAGATTAATATATACACGTTTCACATCGTTATCATTTACTTATCGTTATCAATTGCTTATCGTTTGCACATACATTAACCGATTTGCTTTAACGCCTGATATCTAACGTCATAATATCTATCATTTGTTAACCGATTTTATATTTCTTTCTGTTACTACCTGACTGAACGTCAAAAACCGGTGGCAACACACTATTAAATTAGTTTTCTATAATAAATTTTCTATTAAAATTTGATGTTTTTTAAACTTTCACAACTTTGGATTCTTCTCGTCATTTTTCATTCTGAATTCTGCAAAAACATTCTAAAACACCGTCTCTTTTATGAAATAGTAGAGTTCGATTTTCTTAAAAAAAACTGCAACAAGCATTTGGTAAGCTTTCTTGAGCAATTTCAAAAAAAAAGCTTTCTATTTTCATTTTCTTCAAGTTATTGTGTATCTGTTTGTATTTTTATTATTACTTAAAAGTTATCGCCGTTTTCAAATTAGTGCGACCCCCGCGTGTCAAACAGGGCGGACATCCTTATATCACCTTGCCGATCATTTGCCGATCTTATAGTAAATTGGGTGATATCAGACTTTAAAGCTTCGGCCGAAGTCACAGAAGTTTGGCCGAAACTTGAAACTTTTATGGGTCATAGTTTAACTGATTTAAAATCAATGGCCGAAGTAATCATTCCTAATTTTAGGTAATCAAGAAGTTATGGCTAAATTTATACTTGCAATTATATTTGTTATAATCTATATAATAAATAGAAATTTTCAAAATACAATTTCTCAATCAATTTGGCGTAAAAAATTATAAAATTACTATCAAAATGTTTGTCTTGACGAGATGAATCTAAAAAGCTATAAAACATTAAATTTTAATCACTGGTTGTCACAATATCATTAAAATAATTTCAATTTTCTAATTATTATTAAAATTCAGCCCATTTTTGGGTTTTAGTTAATTTTTGGATTTGAAAACATTAATTTTCGGACTTTGGATAAATTTTGATAACAAATAAAATTTATATAGTTAAATTTGCAAAAAAATGGTATTTTTTATGTGATAATATTAAAATAGATGATCGGCAAAATGATCGGCAATAATGTGATAATATGAGGATGTCCGCCCTGTTCGCGTGTCACCCTCTAAGGAAATCGATTTCCAAAAATTTGCGAAAACCCAGAATTTTCCTGAATAACTACGTAGGAAAGGGTCAATTATTAGCGATTTCCAGAGGAAATCTTGCGAAATTCTCAGTTATAAAGGTAGTTTGCTTATAAAAAAGTGTTTACGTTATACAAAGTTTTATCACTCACTTATAAGCAAACTATTTGAATAATTGAAAATTTCCTGAGATTTCCTCCAGAAATCACTAGCAATCGGACCTTTTCTACAAAGTTATTCAGAAAAATTCCGGGTTTTCCACATTTGCGAAAACCGATTTCCTTAGGGGGTGACATGCAGGGGGTCGCACTAATTTGAAAACAGCGATAATAAAACATGATTTCTCGAAAGATTTTCAGATTTTTAATGGGCAAATGATTATCACAAAAAAGCCCACCATTTGTAAAGTAATACCATCAATAAATAATTTATAATTTAAATATAATATCCAAAAATCCGGATATAATATACCCTGTATAATTTTCCTAACACTATTCCGAATTCGTAAAAACTAGTGAAAAAAAAAAATCTGAATTATAAGGACTATACATATATTTGATTTAATAAGTATATCTACCCCAACGTGTCAACGATAATGAAGAAGAGTACAGTAATGGTTTTTAGTCATAGAAAAAAAAGGCGTAATTCCGTATTAGACTCTCACTGTTTTGTATGAGATTATTTCATCATGACTTAAATTTAATAAGAAGAATTATCGTTATAAAATAAGAATTGATTATACAGTGTATATTATAACGAATAGAATAAGTTATTAGTATTAATGTAATGGGAATTTATTTCAGTTAAATTTAATTTTGTGTATTCATTCATGACTTAAAATTTAATAAGTGAAAATAGATTATATTATATTTTCCTTAAGAGATATTTTGCATCATTTTATTCCTTTTATTAAATTCTTTAAACTTCTAGAGAGTATTTGGATAAAGTCTATTTGTATAAAAAAAAATTATATCAAAAGACTTGCGTGAAAATTTATCTAGACATTTTATTGAATAACCAAAATAACCAATTCAAAAAAGTATTGGTTCAAAAATCATTACATTTCTATATGCTGAAATAATCTATGGATTCCATGAGATTTATAATAATCAATCTCATGCATACTAATATCAATTGTTAAAGTGAAAGATAGTGACAAGATTCTTGGGGAATATAATCCAATAATATTGGAAATCTGATGTTAACTTTAGCACTACTAAAGATAGTTTAATATTTTCTTTTAAGAATAAGGAAAATATTAAAGATTATGTTTTGGGTAACGATAACCTTTGAATTGGAGTTATTGTTATTCCGATTATTATGACAATGAAGTCAATATGGGTTATATGGGTTTGAAATATTTCAAATTATGAAAGATTGATTGATTAAAGATATCAGTGTAATCTTCATATATATATAATTATAACAGTTTATAATATGTAATTATATCAGTTATTACAAATATTACAAAATAAACATCTGATGTTTATTTATTTATCATTTAGTTGCAATAAAAAAAATTTCTTTCTTAGGTTTCTTCTATTTCATTGTCCACGAAAGTGAATATTATAGTGAATTCGTTTTATAATAATAAATTTCTTTAATTACAAGGTCACCGATATTCAAATTATTGCTAATGTATGAATTAAAAATTATTATTTAATTTGATAATCATATTCTTTCTTCAAAACCTTATAGTTCAATCGTTGTTACCTCACACGCTCAATAATATTTGATTTGTAAAAAATGCGTAGAATTAATGTCCAACGAACCAGGATAGATATATCGACAAGTCCGCAGTAATTAAATATCTATAAATAAGGAACCAACACCAAACTCTGATTTTCTTATTATTTATATCACAACAATGACATCAAAATTAGTTATCTGGCGACTATGAAAATTTTTTTTGAAACATTGAAACAGAATCTGGTATGATGTTTTATTTATTCCGGAGAAGATCTAAATGTCAAAGAAATTCATGCTCATTCAAATATTTTATGTACCTAGGTCTCGATCTTTTCGTTCTACATTTTCTAATGAATGGACTGAGAAAGAAAGTGAAAAGACTGTATAACAAAATTTATTATTTTCAGATTCTAACTACAATTTATGTTATGTTTATTTGGAAATATTGAATTATAGAATTTACAAAGTCATGATGTACTATTAAAATTATTGATAGCAGTTGATGAGATTAAAGAGTTTTTGATCAAGCATCAAACTGAATTTTTGCGTCAAGATCCAACTGCAATTCTTGAGACTATTTATCAATATGAAACATTTGAAAATTTTATCAATATAAAAGCCCCTTTAATAGAATAATTATTAAAAGGAGAAGATTTGACTATGAATGAAATTGAAAGAAGAATTTCCACCTAATCATAGAAAACTAGTATATAAATTATTGAAATGGCGTTTTGCTCAATAAAATGTACAGAATTATCCAACATGATGGAATAAAGATGATATTACAAATATTGAAAGTGTATTATACTAATTCATTCCTTTAATTCGATTTTATGATATTGAACCCACTGATTTTCCTTCATGAAGTTATTGCTACATGGAATTTTACAAGATTTATTCATGACCTTTTTGAATATAGTGTTCTGAAAGGGCCGAATTGGGTCAGGTTTGAGGATATATTCGAACTCGACCCGACTATAAAAATCAACCCGCACAAATACTTGGGTTAATATTTATATAACCCGACCTCTGACCCGACCCGTTATAGTTTAACCCTCGGATGACCCGGGTCAAATAAAATTTTTAACAAATTTGTTCATGATTGCAAGACAATAATAATGTATGTCGCACAACTTTTACAAAAAACGATTTTGATAAGTTTTATTTAAATTTTTATTATAAAATTATAAAATACAAACTCATACAAGTACAAATTGTATTTGTTTTGAGATTGCTTCTTTTTACTGCTGTTACTGCTGTTATCAAATCAGCTCCACCGGAAAAGATCCGTTCTATTGGCAAAATCATTTAATTAGTTAATATTTAGCAATATTAAAAATAGCTAAATTATTTTTTACACAGTAGAGCATCTTTGATTTCAAGGATTTTTAAATATTACCAAAAACATGATCTAAGAATATACCATGTTTTCTCGTTTTATACACAAGACTCATAACGTGGACATATTACTCTAAAATATCTTAAATATCTTATTAAAACCCGGGACAACCTGGGTCAAGCAAAGGCATGACCCTGACCCGACGAGTCGGGTTGAATACAGGACTTGTGTCAAATAATGATGAACCCGATTCGGATTTTAAACACGAGTCGGGTCAAATGACCCGGGTTTGGCCCGACCCTTTCGGAACACTAAGAATATCAAACAGTTCCTACATAAAGTTAATTTACCACCTTAAAGTAAGATTAAACCTTGATTGAATCGAATCATACTCCACATTTTACTTCGTGGATTGATTGCTTGGAGAGATTCTTCAATTATCGTTATGATAGAAAAAATAATCCTTATGAAGTCAGGATGGAATGGACCAACTATGAGTAATTTATACCGTTTTATTAATATCGGATATGGAGACATTTATGCTAAAATAAGGATTCCAGAAAAATTCGAAGATTATGAAGTATTTCTATAATTAAAAAGTATTCATCTTCATTATTATTTAAAAAGCGTAGTCTTCTAAAAATTGTTTCATTATCAATAATTTTTGTGTATCCTAAGCAATACAACTTTAAGCAAATATTTTAAAATATGAATGATAAAAGTGTACGTGATGACTTACGACGGATGATCGTGTAACTATAGATTTTATAATGGGAACTAGAAATCATCCATTAAAAACTTATAATCCTGTAAGACGAGAGAAATCAATACATTATTTATTAATTCGTAGACAAGATGCTGAAATTCTTTCTAAAGCATTACTTAACTATTATACAGAAAATCATATTTTGTGTAACAAGAAATACGAAAACAATGTGTTATTTGGATATTTTGTAGAAATAAAATACTAAGGGTCATAAACATAATAACAGATAATGAATGTTCATGATTTATTGTGAATTTTATGAATCATTTTAATTTTAGTAGTATAAATTAAAGTTACTTATTAAATTTCATATAGTAATTTGTTAATGAAACTGGCGCAGAATTTACTTACGTCACTATTTCGGGCGAAATTATTGTAATTCCGATTGAAGTTATAATGTTGACCCAAATTTAGTTAGCAGTCTTTTCAGTTTAATCTGAGATTCTTCATTATACTATGTTAATCTCTTGTTTTGATTATTTTGGTAAGTAACCTTTGATTGACATCCAAATTTAGTGATTAATAAGTAATTTATTTTATTGTATAGCAGATGGTACTGCATACTATGATCCATACGCATGTTAACTGTTAAAGCCAGTTAAAAAAATTATTAGCAGCTTTTAGTAAGTCAGTTAATTGATCTATTCGAAAATAATAAATAATATTGTTATACAAACGCTTGAATATAATAAATATATTTTAGCATGTGTATTGTATTTTATTGACAGATTAGTTTATAAATGAATACTCTACGCCAAACATTTTTCCATGATGTTCTAAATTACGTGTATTTGTAATTTTCAAAACAAGTCGTAAATTGTCCTTTTTATCAAAGGTTTTAAGGTATAATTTTATATTTATTTTGGTTAGATTTTACTAAAAGTTTTGATATTAAAAAATCAAAATCTCATTTACATACGAATTTCGTAGAAAATCTTACAAAGGATCAATTATTATAATAATGCCAAATCGATTTGTAAATGAAAGTTAGTTGATCAACACGGGGGAAATTTACATTTAATTACGCATCATAAAATTTCCAAAAACGCGTTATAATGGTCCAATTTATAATAACAAATCATTTAACCAAAAAAAAGGAGGTTTATTTGAAGTCAAAATGTTCTCAATTATATGATTCTTTATTAAATTTCTCATTAGTTTCATAATATTAACTATTCGTAAGGCAGAAATATTTATTGATAATATGCCAAATTAGATTGTAAATGAGTTCAGAAATTTAATAATCGAATGTCAAGAGAATTTGATTGTAAATGGGTTTTAGAAATTTAATAATAAAATTTCACTTATTTATACCCCCTCATATTTCCCTGATTCGTACCTAAAACTCTGTATTCGTTTCAGAATATACCCTTTACTAATTCAAAAGTAACAAAAATATCCAAAAAGTAATATCGATTTTTTACAATTCATAAGATGTCTGGTCCAAGCAGCAATTGTTCATTTGACTTTGATGGTTCATCTGCACGTGCAAAGTTTGATACTTCGTTACTTAACTTACGTGATGAAAATGTAAATTTTAAGTTGTTTAGCACCTCAGCGGAAACGAAAGCTGGATTAACCGGTCTTGGGATGAAGGCAGGTGTTAATTTGGCAGAAGTTGAAACTTCTGATGGTATTAAAGCAAAGGTTGGGCTTAATTTTGATTCAGGTACATCAATTAGCAGCGATGGTGTAGAAACTAAGGTTGGAGGTTTAGGTGTTAAAGTCGGAAAAGTAACAGGTGTCAGCACACCTTTTGGAGAGGTTGAAATCGATTTTGGAAAATTTCTTGGTTTATAATTGTCCACATTTTAAACTGATCAATAGATAATAATTTATCTCGATATTTCTATTTATTTCGTGATATCTTCAATTATTTGATAACAGCGTTAAATTCTATCAATATAAACATAGTATAGTTCTTTCATATTTGTATTTTGTTTTATAAATAAAGTTATTTACTTATTATTATATTGTGATTTAAACATTTGTAAATTGTGATTTATAAGAAAAGTCATCACATATATTTTACTATTTGATTTTAAGTGAAGTGTAGTTCAGATTTTTACTTTTACATAAATTCACTCTTTGATTGTTTGTGAGATGAAGAAATAAAGCACAAATTATTGTGAATCAATTCAAAGCCAATAGTAAAACTTTAAAGTTATACTCCATTATGTTCATCTCTTTATTTTGGCCTATAGATAATGTGATCAAACAAATTTGATTGAACCCGTCGTTGACACATGATTACATTTAAATACTTGTAAAAAAAAATTTGCAAACGTATTTAGGTTTAAACAATAAGACCATAAGACCATAAATATTTTTTATAATAATAATACTAATTACTTTGTTATTATTTATTTATTATATTAACATAATAATTTCATTATTTTATTTTTATAAATAAAGCCATACTCTCAGTAAAAGTTCTACCTGTTAACTATTGTATCAAATACTTTTTTTAATGTAAAGTACATATAAAAATTATTAGATGATTAACTTGTTAAATCACTAGTTCTGAATAATTTAGTTTTATTAATAAAAACATAAATGTAACTAGTTGTTGCTCTTCATGTTTTCAACGATATTATCAGTTATAAATATTATTATAATTTTTCTTGTAAAGAAATTTACTCATTAATTCCTATATAAATATTTTTTAGGTACTTTTCTGTTGAATAACTTTTAAGAATGGAGATTTTAAACATTATTATGAAAATTCTAAAATATGATCTAACTGAAATTGTTTTATCACAAAAACTTTTAGTAGTGTACTAGTATTGATTAATAAATACGAGGTTATAAATAAACCAAATTAGTAATTGCTTGTTAAAAATGAAAAATCATAAACTTCCGGAATATATACGTTATACCTCAGGTGTCGCTTTGCGTCAGTTGATAGCTGACATGCGTCAGATGTAGATTGATACCTGACGCTCGTCACTTGTCACATAAAACTAAGGTAAATTTTCCAGTCTTAATAACTTTGCAGAAACTTTTAAAATCGAAACCATATCGTAACTATATCAAAACTTTATCATAGTGCTCCGCAAAATTCGGGTCTAACCCGGATAATTCAACCTGAGTGAATTTTAAATCGGGTCGGTATTAACAATTTTAATAACCCGTGACCCGCATGACCCAACCCGTCAGGTCGGGTCATTCATTTCCTTGACTCGAGTTTTGACCTGAATTAGACCCGAATGTCCATTAAAATCACTGATCTTATATTGATTATGCGTTAACATTGATTACGTTTATATAATTTTGTTAGACGAATGAGGTAGTATATCCTCACTTAGCGAAAATGGCTAATGTATATGAATTATTATTATTAATTATTAACATTACATTAACTAATAAGTTGATTTTGATGATTAATAAAGCAACTAGCATTCGAGTATTTTCTGGTGGAACCGATTTGATAGCTGCAAAAATATGTAGTCTTAAAGCAGATACACGTGATTTAATAAAGTTTCTAATTTTTAATCTGGCCAACTTTTTTGATTTTGGCCTACATGTGTTTAAAGTCTTGGCAGACATAAAATATAGTCAAATTTCTGTTAAAGCAAGTGATACAATTTCGATTTTATAGTTCAAATATAAAGCAAGTAATAGTGCAATGAAACTCTAGCCGGCACTATCTAAAAAAGTAAAGATCTACATAATTTTTTTTTTTTTACTACGCAAACCTTTTTATGTATTTTTCGGGATCCTTTCATACTCATACAAGGAAATTAATTAAAATAAAAGAATAGAAATATAGAATCTAAATAATTATATTATCTGTTATTATCTTTTTCTCTATATTTTTGTTATGCAACAATGATTGACACACATTTCGAATATTTCCAGATGTGCAAAATTTGTTTAGTACAAATAAATTATTTGTACTAACCAAATTTTGCCACAATGTGCACATGTGCACATTTTAATTTTTATGTGCACAATTTTTAAAATTTAATGTGCACTATTGTGCACAAAATTTCTCAAAGAAAATATTAATAAAATTAATAAAAATGTGCACTATTATGCACAAAAATCTTTTGATTGTGCACAAAAAAAAATGCTTTATGTGCACATGTGCACATATAATTTTTTTTTAGATTTTATAAACTGAGTACAATGCTTGTACTTGTGATCAATATTTTGCATATAATGCATTTTGCATAAATATTATAAATAAAAAGAAAAAAATTATTACTTTTATCTTTTCTGGTTAGAAAGAATATAGTAATAATGGCTCACAGCAATGATAAAGGTATAAATCATATATAGCAAAAACATTTATTAATACAATTAGAATTCTAAAATTTTTAAACAAATTTGCAATATAAAAAAAACTAGTTTCCGATTGTTTTGAAGAAAGTGGCATTGGAGAATTTGAGGAAAGTGGCACTGAAAAATTTAAATTTAGTATTGAGGAAGAATTTGAAGAAAGTATTATTCAGGAATTTAAAGGATGTAGTATCAAGGAGTCTAAAGGTATATCAAACAAGCTGAAATATTAAATTTTTATTTGTAAATAATTAACTGCTATCTATAATTATGCCTTATGTAATATGCAAATATAATTTAAACTGACTATATTATGTAAAATTATATAGCTCGTAAGTTAATAAGTTATTTTATCATGGAATTTCCTATTAATTTTGTTATATTATATGTACTAAATATTTCATTTAATGATTAATAATACTATAGTTAGTAAGTTATCAGTTATTTAAATCTTTAGTTTTTTACTTTACTTATTTTACATAATATTCAGATAACTAAATTCTTTGTTTAAATAACTTCTAAATAATTGATTATATTGCAGATGGTAAGTTACAATATATATTATATTTATTTGTTTAATATATAGTATAATTCAACTAATTATATTCTATAAATAACTAGATTGTAAGTGATTTAATTTGCAATAAATACTTCTGTTTATATCTATATCCAACTAATTAATATTAATAACACTACAGGGTGTAAGTAATATCTATGCTACTATTATTTGTATAATTTAAGCTAATAAATCTTTATTTAAAAAATTATTTTTTTTAGTTGGTAAGTTATAAATTATTTATTTAATTATATTATTACTTATTTATATAATATTTACATATAATTTAAACTAAATTCTTTATTTAAAAATCATTAATAACATAGAGCGTAAGTTATTTATTTAATTCTATTATTACTTATTTTATATAATAATTTAAACTAACTAAATTTTTTATTAAAAAATCATTTAATAATATAGTGCGTAAGTCATTTATTTAATTCTATTATTAGTTATTTATATAATATTTAAATATAATTTAAATGAACTAAATTCTTTATTTAAAAACTTATTTTGTAATTTTTTTAGCTGGTATGTTATAAATTATTTAATTATATTATTACTTATTTATATAATATTTAAATATAATTTAAACTAACTAAATTCTTTATTTAAAAATTATTTAATAATATAGAGCGTAAGTTATTTATTTAATTCTATTATTACTTATTTATATAATAATTTAAACTAACTAAATTCTTTACTAATAAATTATTTAATAATATAGTGCGTAAGTTATATTTATTTAATTCTATTATTACTTATTTATATAATATTTGCATAATTTAAACTAACTAAATTCTTTATTTAAAAAATTATTTAATAATATAGTGCGTAAGTTATTTATTTAATTCTATAATTACTTATTTACATAATATTTGCATAATTTAAACTAACTAAATTCTTTATTTAAAAAATTATTTAATAATATTATAAGAGTGTAAGTTATTTATTTAATTCTATTATTACTTATTTATATAATAATTTAAAACTAACTAAATTTAAAAAATTATTTAATAATATAGGGAGTAAGTTGTTTATTTAATTCTATTATTACTTACTTATATAATATTTACATATAATTTAAACTAACTAAATTCTTTATTTAAAAAATTATTTA